CTTTTTACTCCTTTGTAAAAAAAAGAGACTCCTTCCGGAAATTCCCATCTGAAATCGATCTTATTTTTCTTAAGTAGTTGCACCAGTGTTGTAAGCTTCTCTTCGCTTCAACAGCCTTATTGGAATATCTTTAAATATAATTATGTAGTTCCCGTCAATGTATAATCTCTTCTCTCTATTCCTTTGCAGGATCATGTTTCTCATGTCTCTATCCTTAAAAGTAATTAAACAGTCACCCGGGAATTTCTTTAGCTTACTTGATTTAATTTTCATTCTGTATGCATTTTGTATTGTCTTTGCTATTTCTTCTTCTGAGAGCTCCATCCACTGCGCAATTTCCTTTATCAGTCTATCTTTTATATTTTCATTTTGTAATTCCGGTACTTGTCTCAGTCTTAAATTAACTTCTCTCTGTTTCAGTTCGTTCATCGTGATGGAGTCTTTTATTTCTTCTTGAATTTTATTTAGATCTGCGATCTCATTTCTTCCCTCCCTCCTGATTGGCTCCTCCCGCTGCTGCTGGCTGCAAAGCAAGCAAAGCTAGAGCCGTGCAAAGCCCTGCAAGCGGCTCCCGCTTTGCTTGGCTGATGGCAGCCACGGCTCCAATCCAGTGCATTCGCTCTATAACACGCACACGCATTTTCCCTTACTTTCTAGAAGCAAAAAAGTGCGTGTTATGGAGCGAAAATTACGGTACATTGGCTCCCAGTACGTTTCCGAGCACAATTCAAAGTGTTGGTGCTGACCTTGAAAGCCCTAAACAGCCTCAGTCCAGTATACCTGAAGGAGCGTCTCCACCCCCATCGTTCTGCCCGGACGCTGAGGTCCAGCGCTGAGGACCTTCTGGCGGTTCCCTCCCTGCGAGAAGTGAGGTTACAGGGAACCAGGCAGAGGGCCTTCTCGGTGGTGGCACCTGCCCTGTGGAACGCCCTCCCAGCAGATGTCAAGGAAAGAAACAACAATCTGACTTTTCAAAGACATCTGAAGGCAGCCCTGTTTAGGGAAGCTTTTAATGTTTAACAGACTACTATATTTTAATACTTTGCTGGAAGCAGCCCAGAGTGGCTTGGGAGACCCAGCCAGATGGGCGGGGTACAAATAAATTATTATTATTATTATTATTATTATTATTATTATTATTATTATTATTATTATATTGCTGCCTCTGACTGTGGAGGCAGAGCAGAGTCATCCTAGCTAATCGCCATTTGTAGTTTTATCCCCCATTGTGCATTTGTCCTTCTTTTAAAGCCATCCCAGTTGCCGGCCATCACTGCCTCTTCCTGCGGAAGTGAGTTCCATAGTTTAACTCTTCACTGGTCAGTAAACAGGTCATCTAGGAGCGACCACTTGCACATCTGTATCTGAAACCACTTTGCTTCCCTTTTCAGGCTGTAAAAGCTGGCTGGGAGATCCATTTGGCTGTCCAAGCAGAGGGTGAAAAAAGGGAATTTGCAATGTAAACTGCACCTGTGATAAATGAGGATCTGGACAATTACCAGCCGGGCTTTTCACTTGGAAGAATGTCCCCGGGGCTGGAGGCTTACATATCTTGTGCCTCCTGTACCTGAGCGAATCTCAGCCTCTGAAACAGGAAGAGAGAGAGGCCCTTTTAAAAAGAAAAAGGGAAACCCTGCTCTCTGATCCTAGAATTCTCAGCCCACAAACCAGATCCCACCCAAGGAGACTCAAGGAGATTTACCTGTTGCCTCCATGTGGCACGACAAATATTTGCCTTGAATTCCTGCCCCCAAGGAGCCTCGTTTCTCTTTGCTGAAATGTGCAATTATTGGCATGTGTGCTGTCCGAAGAGTCCCAGAAAAGTCTGGATCCTTCACGGGCGAGGTCTGTGTTGGTCTTCCCCAAAATTTTCTGGCCCATGTGTGCAGAGGAGGGTGACACACCTTCTGAGGAACGGTTGAGGGTGTTTAGCCTGCAGAAGGGAAGACAGACAGGTGACAAATATCTCAAGGGCTGTCGCATGGAAGTCGGAGCTGGCTTGTTCCCTCCTGGTCCGGAGGGTGGGACCTAAAACAAATGGAATCAGAGGACAAGGAACGAGATTCTGACTAAAGGTAAGGAGAACTTTCTGGTGGTAGGAGCTGTTTGACATTGGAACAAGCTACCTGCTTATTTAACTTATATGCAGAATTCATCATGCGAAAGGCTGGGCTGGATGAATCCCAAGCCAGAATTAAGATTGCCGGAAGAAATATCAACAACCTCAGATATGCATATGGCACAACCTTGATGGCAGAAAGTGAGGAGGAATTAATGAACCTTTTAATGAGGGTGAAAGAGGAGAGCGCAAAATATGGCCTGAAGCTCAACATCAAAAAACCTAAGATCCTGGCCACTGGTCCCATCACCTCCTGGCAAATAGAAGGGGAAGAAATGGAGGCAGTGACAGATTTTACTTTCTTGGGCTCCATGATCACTGCAGATGGTGACAGCAGCCACAAAATTAAAAGACTCCTGCTTCTTGGGAGAAAAACAATGACAAACCTAGACAGCATCTTAAAAAGCAGAGACATCTGCTGCCTGCAGGGGCCGCAGAAACCGTGGGTGCTGCTGCCGGCACTCTTGTCGCCACGCACCTGGGCAGGCTCTGCAGCATTGCCCCATGACCAAGGCGTGCATTGTGCTCATCCTGGTGGCAGGTCCCCTGCTGCGCAAGCCTCTCGCACCTTCCTGCAGCAGCAGCTACTCAGAGTAATAAGTGTAGCCGGGAGGATTGCAAATGGAAAATTGGATTGTGTGACCGGAACGATGCCTGTCGGATTGGGGGGGCGGGTGGTAATAGGTTTATTGCTTTGGGAACGAAGGCCGCATGCACACCATACATTTAAAACACGATCCCTAGGTTCCTGGGAATTGGAGTTCGAGGGTGCTGGGAACTGTAGTTCTGTGAGAAGGAACTTCCATTCCCAGAATGATTGGCGGGGCAGTGGGAGATGTGCTTTAAATGTGTGGTGTGTATGTTGCAGGCCATGGGTTCAAGCCCCAGTGGGACCACAAATATCCCCCCCCCCCTTCTATTCCCTTTTCCACATGATTGGTGGTTCAGTCGTAGAATTCTCTTTTTTAAAAAAAAAAATAAAAATTCAAAATTATAACAAGACATATTATCCAAAAAACATATTATCCTTGTCCCCCCCCATTTTTCCTCCCTCCTCCACCCCACAACCCCCCCCCCGCCCCCACCCCCACCCCCCGACTTCCCTCAGTTCCAGTCTTTGGTTTCTCTGAGACTGCTGTTTTCTGCATGTTACAAAGTTGTATAGATCCTCAAACTATTTATCTGATTATTATCAATAAAAAGTTTGTGAATGTTTATTCAAAACCGGCCAAGGAGTCCAGTTCGCTTTGTTGCGTCTTCAGATACTTTGTAAAGGGTTCCCATTCATCCTTAAAGTCACAGTTATCCTTGTCCCGTAGCTTGTATGTCAGTTTTGCCAGTTCTGCATAGTCCGTCAATTTTTCTTGTCCTGATTCTTTAGTTGGGGTTTCCTCAGTCTTCCATCCTTGTGCTATTAAGACTCTTGCCGCTGTTGTCGCATACATATAGATGTTTTTCAGCTTTTTTGGCAGGTCTTTCCCTACAATCCCCAACAAAAATGCCTTGGATTTTTTAACAAATGTTAAAGGGAACATTTTCTTCAATTCATTGTATATCATTTCCCAATTTTTTTAAATTGCCTTACAATCCCACCACATATGATAAAATGTCCCTTCCTTTTCTTTACACTTCCAACATATATTTGAATTAGTTTTGTACATTTTCCCTAACTGCACTGGTGTTGTGTACCATCTACACATCATCTTCATGTAATTCTCCTTCAATAGGGAACAATCTGTAAATTTTAAATCAGTTTTCCATAATTTTTCCCAATCTTCCATCATAATGTTGTGACCTACATCTTGTGTCCATTTAATCGTAACTGATTTTACCTCTTCATCTTTCATCTCCCATTCTAATAATATGCTGTATGCGGCCTTCAGTAATTTCACTTTCCCTTCGATCACTTCCGTTTGAAGCCTAGATCTTGTACAGTGGTGCCTCGCAAGACGAAATTAATACGTTCTGCGAGTCTCTTCGTCTTACGGTTTTTTCGTCTTGCGAAGCATGGCTATTAGCGGCTTAGCGGCTATTAACGGCTTAGCGGCTATTAGCGGCTTAGCGGCTATTAACGGCTTAGCGGCTATTAACGGCTTAGCGGCTTTAAGAAAAAGGAAACAAACTCGCAAGAACTCGCGAGACATTTCGTCTTGCGAAGCAAGCCCATAGGGAAATTCATCTTGCGGAACGACTCAAAAAAACAGAAAACTCTTTCGTCTAGCGAGTTTTTCCGTCTTGCAAGGCATTCGTCTTGCGGGGCACCACTGTATACAGTGGTAGAATTCTCACCTGCCAAGTGGTAGGTCTGAATTCGAGTCCCGGTCAATGCAGTAACATACCATTAGCCTGGATGGCTCAGTTGGTTACAGCATGGTGCTGATAACGCCACGGTTGCAGGTTCGATCCCTGTATGGGATGACTGCATACTCCTGCATTGCGGACGGTTGGTCTAGATGGGGTTTCCCTCCCAACTCTATTATTCTTTGCAATTTCGTCCTTCCAGCCTGGGACGCTTTGGGGGTCAATTGTTTTTTGTTCTGCTCGCTTGCCTTCTGTCATGTTTGCACTTAAAAAAAAAATCGACCTGAAAAAAGGGGGGAACAGCAGCGTGCCCCTGGGCATGTGCAGAGCGCGACTCCCTCCCCCCGGCCATGGCAGAGCCACTGCCCCCCCCTTCCCTTCCATCCGAGGGAGGAGCTTTCAGCAGCAGAGACGGACCCGGCGCGATCCTGCTCCGCCTCGCCGTCCCGTCGGGCGTCTGGCGGCGCGGGCACGCCCTCTGGCGGCGCTTTAAAAGCCCTGCAAGCGGCGGAGCGAGCGGCAGGCAGGCGCTTCCGACGGCCGGGGCACCGGGCGAAGATGCAGCAGCGGCGGCGGCGGCAGGAGACGGGAGGGCGGACTGGGCGATGGACGGAGCCGAGGTGAGCGCGGTCCCTCTTGGGCTGGCTGCAGGGGAAGCGCCCCGGCAGCCGTCGAGGCGGACGGACGCGCCTGCCTGCCTGCCTGCCTTGCTCGCGGGAAGGGGCGCGGGGACTGCGGGGAGGGATCGGGGCGAGCGGCGGTTAAGAGAGAAAGAGTCGGGCGAGTGGGTTTGGGCGCTGGGGACTCGACGTGCGCTCCCGAAAGCCCTGCCCGTGAATCCTTAATGGTGGTTATTTTGGAATTGCCAAGAGCAAGGCGGCATGCACTCTGCACATGCTTAGAGGCGCTTCTCTTTCGTCTTTGCCCAGTAGTTTTTGGGCGCGAGATGAGTAAGCCCCGTGGAGGCGAAAAAGCCTGTTCATCCGATGAAGAAAGCGGAAGGCCGAGGTGCAAGGGACACCACGGGTCATCTAGTCCAACCCCGGCTGCAAGTGGAGGTGATGAGGGGTTAGGGAGCAAATTGGTGAGCGGATCGACGATGGGGGTGGTGGCTGGATAGGAGGAGGACCGGGAGAGATCTAGTAGGCAGACAGGAGAGGGTGAGAAAGTAGATTCTTAGGAGCTGCCTTTGGACACTGGTGGCAGCAAAAGACTGTTTGTTGCAATACTAAATAGGTGCAAATGGTCAGAAACGGGGTTGTTCTTAGGGGCGGCCAGGGACTCAGAGGTAGCACACCTGCTTTGCATCCAGAAGGTCCCAGGTTCGATCCCTGGCAGCATCTCCAGGTAGGGCTGTGTGGTGTAGTGGTTAGAGAATGTTGTATTAGTACCCAAGAGACCAGGGTTCAAATTCCCAACTCACTGGCTAGTCACTGCCCCTCAGCTTCACCCACCTCGCAGGGCTGTTGTGGGGGATGAAATGAGGAGGGGGAGAGCTTTGTAGACCACCTCGAGCTCCTTGGAGGGAAAAGTTGGATATCAAGGCAATAAATCGGGCAGGGAGCGTAGCCTGCTTGAAACTCTGGGGAGCTGCTGCCAGCCAGTGTAGACAGTATTGATCCAGATGGACCCGATGCTCAGCTTTCTAGCTTCCTGAAATAGACTTTGGGCTATAGAAGGGTTGTGGCTCAAGAGTAGAACACCTGCTCTGCATGCAGAAGGTCCCAGGTTCAGTCCCAAGGCAGCACCTTCCAGTAGGGTTAGGAGACGCCCCCTGTCTGAAACTCTTGAGCTACTGCCAGCCAGAGTTGACAGCATTGGGCTGGGTGGCTCAGTGGATCTGGCTGAAAATAACGTACAGGGTTCTTCTGCGCCATTTCCCCTCTACCTGTTGCTGCTTACAGGGTCCCTCGGAAAGCCATCCAAAATCTGCCGTTTATCCGTACGGATGGAGGTAGCAGTTTCTGCCTTGGCCTCATCTTTTAGCCATGGTTGGTGGGATGGAGGGAATTGTAACCAGGGGACTTAGGAAGGATGAGGCAACGATGCCTCTGCCTGTCTTGTTCTCAAACAACCGGCTCACAGCCTGAGCGCAGATCAGTTTTGCCTTGGCTGTTCAGACAGCCTGAAAATTTATATTCAAAATGCACCAAGTGACTAAGGAGACCAGCAAGGAACCCAGGGGTCATCTAGCCCAACCCCCTTTGATGCAGGAATCACAACTGAAGAGTGCCTGGCAGGTGGCCGCCCAATCTCTGCATAATAACCTCCAAGGAAGGGGGAGTCCACTGCCCTGGTATTTATAGCGCACCTTCTCTCCAAAGAGCTGGAGGTGGTGTTTGTGCCTCGCTGCTGTACCTTCCCCACAACCTTGCGAGGCAGGCTCAGGGAGAGAGGCTGGAGCCAGGTCACAAAAGCGAGCTCCGTGGCTGTGGGGAGATTCGAACCTGGGTCTCCCCCACTACATTGCACCGGTCTTCTGACTCGGCTCCCTGCCCTGGAAATATCTCCTTGGGGTGCCTGATTCCGGATGGCATGGCAGTGTTGGGGGGGGGATGTTTAGAGGCGCCCCCCCTTGCAACCAGCGCAGCCTCTGCAACATTGCGAGGGCCGTTGGGTGGGGCACCCCCCCCTCCGCCTGCAGCGTGACAAAACACCTTCGGGGAGGCAGGGGAAACCCTGAGCACCCGCCACCCACATAATGCGCGTGAAAGCTTTGCTGGCTTTGCTGAGTCGGCGTGCATGGAATTGCACTTCAGTTGCGCTGAGTGCTCCTGCCCATGCCAGCCCCAGAGCTGTGGGGAGAGTGCGGGCTGCTTGAAGAGCTGGTTCCCCATCCCAGGGGTGTGTGTCTGGGCTGGGGGGAAAGGACCCCCCCTTGTGTGTTCTCTGGACATCTCCTGAGCTCTGGACCACCTGCGACAGAACACACAGGTAAGGCTTTGATACGGTGCCATTGGAATCTGCTTCCGATGCGGGAGGGGGGATTGCTGGGAAATGTGTGAATTGGGAATAGAAGACAGCGCCCCTGAGTGTGTGCAGAGTCCCTTTCCTTCAATACTCGGTAAGTTGGAAGGAGCTGGCATAGATCAATGGCCGGGGAAAGAATTTGCAAGCAGGAGGGTGTTGCAAAAACAACATCCCTTTTCATAGAAAATCAGCACAGGGCTCAAAATGCGATTTAGGTGTGTGCAATGCTCAGCAGTGAACATAGGGACATTTGGACTTAATGGTTTTACGGTAAACACCCCCCCCCTTTAAATGGTCTTTTGTGTTATTTCACTTGCTCTGGAATGTGGGGTGCTGCGTTCGCAGACCTCCTGTTGCTTCTGCAAAGTGGGGTCCTGCACTCCTGCTCTGAGCGCTCCACCGGTGATGTTGCAACGCTGATAACGGAACAGTACGAGAGAAAGCGGTCCGTAGCTTCCCGTTGCTTAATGAGAATATTTAACGACCACTCATACCTAATACGCTTAGAGTAAAACACTCGACAAAGGGGTGAGAGTTTTAAAGGGCTTAAAGCTGGGTTTTGAAAGAGGGGTGTGGCAAATTCATGGGTCTCTCCCTGTATATTTGTCACGACGGCTCTATGGAGCCTCCAGTTCAGGTGCAGTATACCTGCAGGGGGAGATATTGCTGGGCTGTTGCCTTTCTTGCCCTGCTTTTTCAATGGAGGGAAGGGGCTTCCCAAAAGTGTCTATTTTGCCCCCGTGAGAAGAGGGCGATCTTGAGTTGGGTGGTCCTTTGCTCTGACCCAGCAGGGAAATCCTTGTGTTCTTATGGTGGGCTTAGCATTATGCAGATAATGGGAAACTTGGCTTAGTTTGGTTTAACCTAATAGGTTTGTCTAAGTAAGCTTTAGCAGAGCATCAGAGGAAAGAGAGGAGGGAGACCACGTATATTCCTCAATCCGTGCCGTAAAAATGTATTTATTAGCGACGGCTTGTGCCGAAAATGTGGACAGGGACGTGCAAATGCCATCCAAAATGCACAGCCCATTGAAAGCAATGCAGTGCACAGTTAGTTCCCTGCCCGGGAAGTGGACAACGGCTTGTGTGCAGATCTTGTTGGCTGTCGCGGGATGCAGAGAAAGGAAGGCAGAGCTGGGAAAAGATTGGTTTCGTAGAATCATAGAATTGCAGAGTTGGAAGGGACCCCACGGGTCATCCAGCCCAACCCTCTGCAATGCAGAAATCACAGCTAGAGGAGTCCCTGGCAGGCGGCCACTCTGCTTAGAAACCTCCAAGGAAGGAGAGCCCACCGCCTCTTCTGGGAGTCTGTTCCACTGCTGAACAGCTCTTACTGCCAGGAAGTTCTTCCCGATCTTAAGTCGGAATCTCATTTGAATCCACTGGTTCTGGTCCTTCCCTCCGGAGCAGCAGGAGGAAGAACCGAAATGTTTGGGAAGAGGGAGCGGCGAGAGGAAAATGTGCAAGGCTGTTTAACAGGCCCATCTAGCACAGCATCCTTTTTCCGATAAGGTCATGTACGTATGCTATAAAATGCATGTCAATGTGTAGGGCTATAGTGCCCTTTTGCCTGTAATCTGTCGTTATTTTTTCAGAAGCTGAGGGCTCACTTGCTCTGCTACTTAAACTTGGTGTGTGTGTGTGCGCGCGCGCTTGTGGAGCCCTTTAATCGAAAAAAAGTCCATGCCAATTCTTCATAACTATTTCTCCCCATCACCATTTCCCCAGGCCAGTAGTAATGTCCTGCCTTCAAACCACGCTTAATTTTAGAATACGAAGAAAATCTCGGAAAGTTATCTGCTTCTCTCCTCCTTTTCAACACTTGCCTTCTCTTTCTCTGTGTGTGTTTTTTATTAAACAATGTGTTTTGTTGAGTCTCTGTGTCCGCTGCTGTTGGGATTGAGGCAAGTTTAGAGCAATTACACGCTTGCAAGCAAAGGGAGAGAGGTGGCTTGTCAGAGTGAAGGAGGGCAAAGCCAAGCCATTGCTCTGTTTGCTGGCACTCTCTGTGAGGAGCAGGTCGCTGCAAAATGAGGGAGAGAAGCAGAACCGCAGGGGAGATCGGAATTGCCCAATTCTGCCTTCAAAAGGCATCTGAGGAAGGGAAGGGCTATATCTCAGAGCCAGGGCAGAGGCTGTGCATGCAAAAACCTCAGGAGTAGTTCCATGCTTGGCATCTCCAGGGAAAGCGGGGAGAGAACGGTCAACAGTGTGATGCTGCAGCAAATAAGGCTAATGCGATCCTAGGCTGTATAGGGTCCAAATCAAGGGAGGCAAGAGTGTTGCTCTCTTCTGCCTTGGTCAGACCACACCTGGAGTCCAGGGTCCAGTTCTGGATGCCACAGTTTAACAACAACAACAACAACATCTGAAGAATATCTGAAGAATATCTGAAGAAGTGTGCATGCACACGAAAGCTCATACCAAGAACTAACTTAGTTGGTCTTTAAGGTGCTACTGGAAGGAATTTTTTTTGTTTTGACTATGGCAGACCAACACGGCTACCCATCTGTAACAACAACAACAGTAATTTATTATTCATACCCCGCCCATCTGACTGGGTTTCCCCAGCCACTCTGGGTGGCTTCCAACCGAATATTAAAAAGAACACAGACACAGCATCAGACATTAAAAACTTCCCTAAACAGTTG